AAATAATAACAAGTCAAGTGAAATCCTTCAGGAAAACGGCAAACATTTTTGACTGCTTTGCAGCTTTACAGTGACATTTCAGGAATGTCCAACCAACAAGAGAGGAGGCCAAGACGTATGTCCTCGATTTTATGGCATGAAAATATCTGCCTGCTTTTTGCCAAAATAATGGATTGAATTAATTTTACAGTTTTTACAGACCCATGATTTCCAGTTTCACCAACTTCACAGATCAATTATTAAAGTCCATTTTTTACAACCCATATCAGCCTCTCAAGAGAAGGAATGATCTGACTTTTTGATTTATATAAAATATATCAGTTTTCATCATTTCTCTTCAGACAGAACAGAGATCTTTAGATCCTTCACAAACCAGGGCTAACAGAACAGGAAACAGCAATTCATTAATATAAAGTTAAGTATTTTTAGAATGAAATTTTTATGGGGAAAAGAAAATGAAACACAGTGGAAGGAACCAGTATTAGTCTGCAATGCTCAGCTGTCCTGCTGAAAGTGTCAATGGCAACTTTAATACTACCTAAAAGGCCTGAAATAGCCATTACATATTATAAAATAACACTATGCTTGTTTCCCTCTCCATCTTTAAAGTGAAAGCAGCAAAGTGAAGAAGGTGAGTCCCACCAGGACTGCAGGGGCACAGACTTCACAGGGAACATCAGTTACAGCTCTCCCCATTCTTGGGGCTGACACCAAGCACCTATGCTGAAGCACAACGCAGACATATAGAGGCCAACAATACAACCCAGGGTTGCTGGTTTTCCCATGTTTCAAGATTACTCATTCGTAGTCACACATTAGTAATTTTCTTTAAGTTCACCGAAGCAGAAACTAACTCAACACAACTCCAGTGAGCCAGTTTCTCACAGTTTCTCCTTGCGGAAAGAGTAGATAAACCTGAGCTGCTAGATTGCCTGCAAGCCCCGAAGGCTCTCCATCACACCCGATACCTCCCGATAGCTTTATCTGACGATTTGGCAAAACAACAGCAAGAAGCTGATACTAGAAAGAGAAATGTAATACCGATGCTTGTGATTTATGAACTGCTCTAAGGAGTACAGGTTTCACTTGCAGTTCTAGTTGGAGAGGCTATACGTAATTCAAGCTCGCCCCCCAGTGGACTCCATGCCCACACTAGCACACTAAATTTCAAGGATACCAGCGAGAAGTACTGGGGAGTCAGGGCACAGCATACTTAAAAAAAACCTAGGAGTTATTCAAAGAGAATGAAAAGTTAATCTTCTATAATATTTTATTTCCATTTTTAATTAAGAATAAAAAAAGTATATAACTTCCAAGCAACCAAGTTATTCATCCTGTCAAAATACTAGTTTAAAAAATAAAAAGCAAAATACTAGGCTGGGGAGAGACTGGATTGAGAGCAGCCCTGTGGAGGACTTGGGAGTGTTGGCTGATGAGAAGCTCAGTATGAGCTGGCAGTGTGTGGTCACAGCCCAGAAAGCCAACCATATCCTGGGCTGCATCAGAAGAAGCGAGATCAGCAGGTCAAGATGATTCTCCCTATCTACGCTGCTCTAATGAGACAAAGATGATTAGAGGTTTGAAGCACTTCTCCTATGGAGACAGGCTGAAAGTGTTGGGATTGTTCAGCCTGGAGAAGGCTCCAGGGAGACCTTATAGCAGCCTTCCAGTACCAAAACAGGGCCTAGAAGAAATCTGGCGAGTGACTTTTCACAAGGACATGAAATCCTTGTCTTTTACAAGGACATTTAGACAAGGGGGAATGGCTTTGAACTGAAAGGGGACAGACAGATTAGACATTAGGAAGAAATTCTGCATTGTGACGGTGGTGAGACACTGGCACAGGTTGCTCACAGAAGCTGTGGCTGCCCCATCCCTGGGAGTGTTCAGTGCTGGATAGGGCTTTGAGCAACCTCGTCTAGTGGAAGGTGCTCCTGCCCATGGCAGGGGGCTGGAATGAGATGAGCTTTAAACCCCTTTCAACTCTAACTGTTCTATGATTCCATGATTATTTTTGCCTCCTGTATCCAAACAACCGTGAAGGTTTTAGTGGCTATGCATATATAGTAAATAGTAAGAAGAAAAGTTCTCAAGCACATTTTGCTTCAGTAAACAACTGCCAGCAAGATCAGCCTGCCTAAAATAAAAAAAGTCTATATTACACAATACTGAGTTTCTGTGATCTTTTCTCAGAAAGCTTCCTACACTGAAACTTGCTCACCCTTGCGTGCATAGCTGTCATACTTCATTTATACTTATCCAAAATGGCACTAATTACTGTGGGTCATAAGTGAATAATTAACTTCTTTTGCCTGAAGCAAAAGTAAAGGGCAAGATAAAAAAAGTAAGATGAGATTAACACGTAAGAGTATGCTCATGGCCAACGCTAAACATAAGTCTGAATCCACCAACTTCTTACCAAGACCTGAGATGTGTTCTGTAAAACACATTTAATTTTAAGTGCATAATACAGATTTTGCCACTGGTTCCATTGGCTAAATTCAGTGCTCACCTTTTCTCTAGACTATACTTTACTTGCTGCAGGCATGAAGACATGGCAATATAAAGCAGTTAACAAATGACCATTTAATGAAGTTTTTTTATTTAATGTTATTTTTCTTTTCTCCCTGAAGGAATAAAGCAACATCCAAAATGACTGCAAAATATTTCAGGCAGATGCCTTTTGGGGTGGGGATTTGTTTCAGCCAGCTAACAGCCTGGTAGGTATCTGGTCTTCCTCTATATTCAGCAGTGAAAGAAAAGCACCTTTGCAAGCCAATCCCTGGGTCTACCTGAAGAGGGAATAACGTGCCCCAGAGGTACCAATCCTTCTTTTCTGACTACCCAGAGATCCCAGACAGATAGCATAGCCTAGACACCCAGCTGCCAAGGAACCAAGGCTGGAGAGATGGATCCTATGATTATGGCAGGTACAGAAACTCCCTTCATGCTGCTGGAGAGTTACAGCTGCAAAACCTGTAATTATCAACAGCATTTCAAGCCTTCAGTGCTTAGTTTTGGACACCCTAAGCATACAGCCTGAGATTCAGAGGTGCAGATGATCTAACACTTATCTGGGTGCATTACTTGCAAGTTCTGGTCTGCCATAAGATCACTAATGAATTAACAAATAAGATTCTTGTTGTTTTAAAAAGTCACAGAAGAGAAAAGCCTTCTGTATTTCTGGGCTAACTTGGGTGTGACTTTTCTGAAGTTGTTCACATCTAGTTTTGTAACTCATCTCCTTAACACGATGCTTGCTTATAGTCCTGGGCTGCTCACCAGTCTTGCAGGGTAAAAAATAGTGACTTCCCTGTGACATAAATACATAGTAGTATTTTTGGTTCAAACCAAACAGTCTACTGTTTTCATGCCTTTGCTGGGCTCTCTGCCTTCTAATCTGCTACAGCCATATAATGCTCAAAGGATGACACAGGCAAGAATAGGAAAATCATTTAGAAATCAGGGAAGGGGGAAGGAAAGGGACAGAGCAGGGTTAGATTGGGATAAAAGAAGTAAAACAGGAACGACAGAGAACAAGGTAAAAGGGTAAAGCATATAAAATACATTGGAAAGGTAGGGGATTGAAGACCACACTGAAGATGGGGAAAAGAAAGGAAGAACGAAAAACAATTAAGACAAGACATGATAAATCAGGAGAGAGGAGAAGGTACAAGCATTAACGGGAAGGCATGAAGGACTAGAATAACTGGCCTGAAGGGAAACGTAATGAAATTCTCAGACACCAGAACATTTCTGCTGTTTAAGGAAGGAACTCTTACCTTACAGAAATTGATTTAGTAGGGGGTATTAAGATGAGCCTTGTTTAGTATTCCTCTCAACAAAAGTCCTACCAACCAAAAGACATATTGGAAAGAGTGATGGAGAAATGGCCTCACTTGAAATGGAGACGCCATCACTTAGTTTTTTTAAAACAGTATCTCATACTCTTTAGAGTACATCACATCACAGCAAGTGCCAGCAGATGCTCAGCAGAGAACAACAATGGGCTACATGCTGGATAAATACAATTTTTTCTCCAAGGAGCTACTAGAACGCTGAAGAACATTAGGATTAGAGGGATCAATAAATTTAATTTAAGCAAATCAGCAGCAGAGTAAGGAACAGCAGTGAGGCTCAGAGTGTTCTGTCTACTGCCTTTCTAGCCATCTGAGCAATGCCCTCTTAAATAGTTCTTGATGACTTCAAATCACTGCTCCTCAATTCATGCATAATAAGATTACAACTATTACACAACATTGCTTCAGCTACCCTTACATGCCTGTCATGTAGACTAGTAACAACCTTTGAAGTTAATAAGGACACAAGGTATTGATTCAGTGTTAAGTATTACCACCACCACTGAATGCGACCCAGCTCATGTAGGCACCTCTCCTGCATCTCTGTTGTAGGGACCTAGTGCAACCTATTCTCATAAAGTGCCTGACTTTCATCTGCAGTATGTGGTAGGTGCCTCTGCAGCCTCCAGAAAAAAAAATTCTGAGGTATTCAAGTTTACATTTGAATTGAACTGAAGGCATTTAGTGGCACTTAGCATTCAAGGGCTACAGCTATAAAAGCAAGTAGCAGCTCAATAGCAGGAGGTCTTTAGAGTGAAGAGAAAAAGAAAAAAAGAACTATGTCCACACCGTATGCTCTTCTTGAGTGTTTTCTTTGGACTAACTCTCGTTGGTCCCTAGCAATCACCACCCGTTGTTTGTTGAAGCACAGTAGGTGTGTCGCTGAAGGCCACTTTTCTGTTTAGTTTCATCTGAAAGGAGTCTGGTTTGGGCTGACACCACTCTTGTCCTGAGAAGTGGGGATGACAGGGAAGTTCAGTTCAAAAGCACTCTCTTGATTTGCACCAGAATGGATACCTCTGTTATTCAGGTACACTCCTTTGGCTCTCAGGGTAGGATGATGAGTTCAATAGGTTGTAAATTAGTCAGAAAGGAATCTGCATGTCTTAACCATGGTACACAGTGACAGCAAAGTCTTACCTGTGTGCGTCCTCCGGTGAGCCTTCAGGTGGGAACTTTTTGTGTATACTTTGTTGCATCCCTCAAAGTCACACCGATGGATGCGCCGCTTCCTGGAGTCTGGAGACTCAGACCTCCTCTGACGCCTTGTGCTCTCAATACTGAACGGTGAAATTGAACTAAAAACCAGAACAGAAACAAAACAATGAAGCAAGAGCATGCTGTATATCTTGTGTCCCAAAAGATCAGCTGTAACATATCACTGTGCCAGAAGTGACCTTCATAGTTAACTTTTTTTGTTTCTACCATGTAGTCCACAGCACATACTTGAAACAATTTGTGCTTGAACTAGAGCATATTCAATAATTCAAGTCTTGATTTAGATGTGCTTATTGCTGAGAAAATACCACGATGCTTGAAATACTACTCCAATAGTGAAGTAGCCTGACTTTATCTTGAACTTGTTTTCTACTTTATATGTGTCTAGATTCAAGCCCACTGAACCATGTTTTCTGAACATCTTTATATATAGCCTCCATAATTCTTCTTTGAGAGGTTTAAATAGATAAAAATCCGGAAAGCTTTTATGAAAAAGGTTTTCCAGTACCCAGCTCTGGACCATGGATCCTCACGTTTGGCCACACACCTGTTATTTACTTGCATACAGTCTGCCAACAAGTCTAGATCACCCCTCATTCCATTTCCTTAACGATTCTCAGTCTGTCACCTGCAAGTCAATGAATTTAATTTCCTTTCAGACAACTGATAAATAAAAAGTTTATTAGCACAGGGCCAAAGGACAATCTCCATAGAAACGTGAATGCTTATCAAAGATACTCCATTTATAACAATGTCCTAATGCCTATGAGTTATCACAATTTTAGGCATTTAAAAATATCATGTTGAAGTCACACTGCTTAAGTTTCTAACTACTGTGTGTATCAAGTCTGATATCTGAACGAAACCTGCTACAACAGTGTACTTGCCTTGGTTAGATAAACTTGTGTCATAAACTGTTACCAAGCTGGTATGCCAAGATCCAAACCCTCACTGACTTCCATTGAATTATATTACACAGCTATAAATCATTATTATTCGGTCTCCTTATCAACCCCATCATGGATATACTGCACAGCAGTCACGTTCACCTACAGTTATACTAGCCTGTTTAGCTACTTTAAGCGCTGGAACAACACTGGTCTTCATCAAGTTTCTGGGGCCTCCCCCACATTCTTGGGTTTATTGACATTCAAGGTAAATGATCTAGAGATTCATCAGTCAGCTAGTTCTTTTAAACTCTTCAGATGAACGTTCCCAGTTCTCCTGAAAGAATTTGTGACTGTCAAAGGAAAATGAATGGGAGGAAAAGAAAGTGATCACAGAAAGAAGTAAGCACAAAGCTTGGGGAAAGCCGAGATACTAAGAAAGGCATTTGCTGAGAAGCTCCTGTGTCAACACCAGTCTGCAACCTTCTGTTACAATAGCCACTGCTGCTATAGCTATAGCTGCTTTGGCATAAACTGCACTTACAGACATCTCCAGAATTTGCTGAGGACTACTTGTACTGGGTTAAAACTTTGCATAAAGCATCTTGCACCATTTGACTTGCATATGATTTGACTGATGTTCCAATTCTCTGCATACAAATCTTTAAGCCTTGAACTAATGGCACTTGAAATCATGCATTTTTCTTTTTGTTTAATATTTTTACCGTATGACCCTAACTTAAAGCATTATTTTAGAAAAAAAATGGAGTACCCTCTTTCTGACAGCCCTCTCTCTCTCTTAATACTTATGTATATTCTTATTTCACCTTCAGGCAAAGAGATTTTCCAGATTAATTATTTTTGTCTCTAATAACAATGTGTGTTAATGGGTGTGAGAGGAATTTCTGAAGTGGAGAAAGAAATGGACAGAGTGCCATAATATTAACTAGCAAAAAAGTAGTCCCCAAGAGAGTAAGACACATCAGCACTTTAACTATATGACAGGAATATAGATATGTTTAGCTGTCACAGAAACGGCTTAGTAATTTAAGCATCTGGGCAAATAACAGTCTTGGGTTTGATAATTCACTGAGAATGGTCTTTCTCTTTAAACATCTAAAATAAAAAGCAAACGTAAATCAAATCTTAAAGCTCAATACTGAAGGCACAAAATCCAGGGTTCTAGACCAGAAAAGTCTTTATCTTTAAAAGTAAATATTTGTGCACAATTTTTCTTGCATGTGATTTATGAGCTGTCTTAAAAGCCTATTTTGTAACAGGGTGTTTAGATCCTGGATGGTACAGCTCGTTTACATGGGAGGAGGATCAAGCTTGTAATGCTGCTGTTAATTCCCAGCCCCGAGACAAAATGAAGCTTGAGAAGAGTCAGCACCTTGTAAAAAGCTCTTTGTCACGTACAAGAAGGTGACCTCATTGCTGGGAACTGCTCTGTGCTTTCCCAGGAATTTATACAGGAGAGGGTGGCATAAAGCAGTGCCAAGAAGGTGGCACGTGATCAGCGCAGCTTCTTTTTATCTGGATTGTTCCCTCTTTCTAAAAGCATCGTACCTATGCCATGCCATGGAAAATAACTGAATAAGACACAGAAGATGATGTGCATTGCCATCAACCCTGAGTGATTCACCGGCATCACTTGCTCAGTGTCCCGAGGAGGGGGGTACTGTGAGCTGGAACCAGGAAATGTAACCACATGCCTTCCCTTCACAGCAGTGCAGGCTACATGACAAACTAGCCATCAGAAGAGACTCACATGTGGTTTAAAACCATGTAAAGTAACTGAAAAAAACCACACAAACCATACCATAGCAGCCTCCCTCGACTCCAAGTGGCCCTCACCGTCTACCCAGAGTGAAGACCTGGAAACACATCAGCAGCTGAGAGCAGCCACAACGCCTAGATGAGGAGCTGCCAGTGCTCCTGTTATTGGCCAAGAACTCAGGGATCCTTTAAAGCTTAAGGTGGGGTTTACCAACAGGACTGATAGTACAGGTAACACCCCAGAGAAACTGCAGGATGTATCAAATTACTGCTGACACATCAAGTTTGAGAGATTAACAAAGAAAAAAGTGGTTCTGGCCTGTCAGCTTTATTTATTCAGTCCATTATTTCTAAAACCAGTGTAATTTCTATGTTAGGGCAGAAGCTGTTACACTAACACAAGTCACAGGAGATTGTTGGTTGCTTCCAGAAGCAGCTGCAACCTGTAGTGAGAACTGTTCATATGATATAATGAATGAAATCAGTATAAGCATTTAGGGCGACTTACAGAACTTCATCTGTGTTATTTCCAGCTACCAGTGAAAACATGCATCTTTGCAACTCACACATGGCCAGGAACTTGTCTCTCTGATCAAAAAATGTCTGCAAAGTAAAACAAAGACTGGGGCTTCACCAGTAGATGGCCATCAAGTTCTGCTGAACGTGATCTGCACTGCCTGCAGCAGCGATTATAACCCTGGAAATGCAGGATTACTTTTTCTTTCTATGAATGCTGCCCACAGCCTTCTACAGGTTTCTTCTCTGTTCTACATACAGCCTGTGAAAGGCCCCTGGCATACTCAGTAACACTGCTAAAACCACATGTAGCAGGCATTTTTATAACAGTCCTGTGTTTTCTGAGCGATATACAGAGCAGAACTGCCTGGGGAGGACAATGTGTTTACTAAAGCCTCGAACTGTCTTCAGTGCCACAATACACCAACAACATGCCATGTATGCAGTGACAAATCACTGCACACTGGCTTCCCCCATAAGCAGCCTGCTCGTGTGCTTTCACCCTGTGGCAAACAAGTAGTGTTACCTTCGTCCACCAAAGTATGAGCCTCCTGCTGCTGATGGCCTCCCACCAAGCCAGAGAACAGCTGGCTGATATCGCATTTTCATCCTTGTGATTGCCACCTTTACTCTTCCTTGGTCCCTCTGCTATGAGCTCAGACTGTGTGGCTATGTCTCCTGCCTGCCCTGCAAAAGACCTCATGGAAAACACACTGACACATAGCCAACAGGTATGGACAAGCACGTATCCCAAGTCCCTTTCACCATACCATACAGCATTCAGACTGCATTACCTTCCTCCCTAGTTGGGTCTTGTAGTTAAATGAGAGATATATAATTGCACCTTGACTATAGGCCATGGCTGCTGAAAACAGAAACTGACTTTATTTTGGGGTGAGACCCAGGCACACATCAGCAGTGTCCCCTTCACTCTGGCTACCATGGGAAGGAGAACCAGACTTGGCTCAGCTCCATGCAGCATCTGCTCAGCTTGGCAAGTGCGTGGCCTCCACGGTGGGCATAACATAAGCTGCATCCTTTTTGTGTTTCTCAGGCTCTGGACTGTTGAAGGATATGATGGCTAAGATGGCATACCAGGACAGTGCTGCCCCAGTTACTTTCCCTTGTGTAGGCACTTGCATTTGTCTGATCCTGCAGCAAGCCAGTTCATAGCTAACACTGACAAAAACTCAACTCTGCCCCCCAAAACCCAAACTCAAGCAGCTTGCTTCCTTTTGCTGGTTTCATTCCCTAAATAGTGAAGTCTACCAAGTACCTGCTGACACATGGGAGACGATGGGAAACTACGGTCAAGGGGTTACGGAAGCGTCATAACAACTTTCAATGTCAACTAGCTGTGATTATCACCAATGCCACAACTTCCATGGAAATAAAGGATTTGTATGAAGAAATCAAGAACACAGGTATAAGCAAGCAACACAAGGAACAACCGGAAAATCCACCTTTCACTCCAAAATGAAACTTCTTGTGATACTTGTGCATGTAACACACAAAAATAAACACATGAATACATAGGCTGAAAACAGAAATTGGGAGATATTACCATGCTAAATACTTAGGAGGTGACTATGTGCCCTGGCAATATAGAATAGAACCAACATTCATGTCTCACTCTCAGGCCAGTTTTGGACATCCAGATATACACAGGTTTTGTTTAGAAAGGAAAAAAAAAAATATATAAATATACAAGATTCAAATATACAAACAGTGTGTAAATTTAGTACTATGAATCTTAAGTTTATGAAACATGCAAAGCTTCTGGGCCAACCTTGTCAGTCACAGTAATTAAAACTGCAGGCAAATGAAATAAAAGCAGAAAATTAGAATATAATATGTCTGCATTCAGATGCTAATAAGAAGTGGAAGAACATCCTTGG